TCTTTGACGGAATTATATGGTCAAAATTATAGATCACCTCTAGTTTAATACTATTCTTTACCTCCTTGGGCAATCTATCAGATAAGCCAGTTAATTCAACGCGTATATCCATAGAATAGTTTATCTCATTTGGAGGAGCAAAATTCAATTCACTTTCCAATAAAACTTCCACACTATCCTCCAGAGTTATACTGGATAAAATGATTACCTTATCTTTCCCCAGTTTCTTACTAAAATGGTTGCTACGACTTAATTTACGCGCAAAATTTCTCGGTCTTATTTTAATTCCTATGTTCCGGAGCTTCTTATCATATATCCACCGAGTCATTCTGTCTGTAGTCTCTCCTAACCTGATAGCCATATCTTGTAACTTAAGAAGATCCACATCAGTCATTACTTCAGAAAGGGATTATCTAAGCCTGGTTTTGTTTCCAATTAGTTCGCGTAGTCTGTTAATGTTTCCCTTGAGCAATATTGTTATCTCAGAAGATTTATCGAAGCCCAGTTACTCAATAAATGATATTATTTGAGTGGATTTAGTGAGGCTTTAGAATAAACATTAGAAGCTATGATTGTGTTAGTGAAATAGGAAGAAATGCGATGGGTGAAAGAGGGAGGAGAGATAACATAACTCTCTTACACAAATGTAGTCTTCATACGAAATCAGGCCTCCACAACAAGGAATGGACTTCATCTGTCTCTAATACGCTGCAGCTTAACGCTAAGACTGGCAAGTCTCACTGACGGCCTTGCTTACCATGCCGGCTAATGTTTGTGAATGTACCAGTTCCGCGGTCAGACGCTGGAAATCAGCATGACTTCATTGGCAAATGATCTCGGACAAGATGCATTTAATTAAGGTCGTCCTGCTAGTGCAACCAAGTTGCCAAAACGAATCCAACTCACCTATATACATCGTATGCCTAATCGACAAAATCTTTGTTTTTTTTGGTTTTTAACCACAGACCTAATTCTCCCCTGCTTTTTATATAATTATTCCCTTATAAAACATCTGCCTTTTCCATCAACTTGTATCTACTATTCAGTCCATCCCTATGCGTGCAAAACTACGTCGCCTATGTGTGCATATAAAAGCGCAACCGTACATTCTCGACTTGATCTCCCCTAACACTTTCCCCTCTATTCATATAGCTGCTGCTCTCGGAGTTCCTCTACCTCGCCAGGGCTGCCGCAGTTTGATCAGCACTGCCGTGATTCGTGGTTCCCGAGATGACTGCCAGTCATCGAGCAGCGCGCCTGACATCAACCGGTTGATTGAAGACCATGTGGCGCTTGTGACTCCGACTCGTAAGTGATACCGAACCTGAAAATTTTGTTCCCATTTTTTCCTCCTTTTCACCACCTCCCTATGATAAGGCCTAGGTGAGATCGAAACTGCATTCTACTCTGGATGAGCACACCTTTTTGGAAAGCAAGGCTATGTGAAATTTAATGGAAGCGTCTGCTCCACTCATAGCATTGTGGGAACTTTCAACTACCAGTCCTTTATCAGCTTAATCGAAATAGGGTGAATACATCTCAGACAACTGATTTACTGATAGTCTCGAAATTATAATAATAAACGAAAAAAAAGTAATGTAGTCGATTATCACAGCAAATATAACTTTGCTTCATCGGCAGTCCCACTTAAGAATGTGATATGGCTTTCCTTGAAATTCGCATCTTCCCTCTGACCTAAGGGTATTCGTGGTACTGTGGCGTAGTGGTTAAGGTGTCGAGATTACATGCTGCACTGTCATGGTTCGACTCCCACTAGGGGTGTCGATAAGGCATAGGCGAGGTCGAAACAGCAGTCCATTCTGGATGAGAAAACCTTTTGGGAAATTAAGGCTATGTGAAATTCAATGAAAGCGTCAGCTCAACTCATATCATTGTGGTAAAATCCAACAACCAGTCCTTCATCACCTTAAACGGAATAGGGTGAATACGTCTTATAAAACAGAGGGTTGCTTATCGATGCAAAATCCCCCCTTGCTTAAAATGCATACTTATCGCTTAACACAATTCGGCCATATTTGTCTGGCTTATGGAGGTACTTATTTGTCCCTTCACATACCCATCCACAGTTCGAATCCCGCTTGGAGTTTTATTCTGGCAAGATCGATCCTGCAGCTCTTTGAGATGAATGGCAAATTCATATTTACTTAGCAAAATCAGGGCCCCTCTCCAGTTTATTTAGCAGCTTAACAAAAAAAGCAGCCGAAACTAATGCACCTCTGTGAACTTGGGACTGAACACTTCCTTGTTCACTTTCCCATTAACGCATTTTTAGCTATTGAGGAAATCTAGGCTAGGCAATTTTCCCCTTATGTCATGCCTTTCTCATGGCCTATCCCATCTTATTACTTTATCCCTTACTCTTTTCATCAAAGTACTGCTGTTTCTCTGATAATCCACTATCTAACCTGAAAAATTAGTTGATCTTATTTTTATATCCCTATTCAGCTGCTGCCGTCAGCCCTGACGATATGCTGGTGCCAACTGCACCATGTGTTCCCGAGGTCTATCCACTAGAGACATTGCACAATTCTCTAACACTTTCCCAGTTGGAAGCCTTCTTAGCCCGATTGGCTTTCGTCAAGTTGCCTACTCCTTTCACTTCGCCACATTGTCCATCCACTCCCGTGTCACAACGATTTTCCCGTCAGCGTTCCGGGCCTACTCCCACGGTCGTGCCAACGCCTTCCACCACTGCCGTCAGTTCCGCCTCCCACGTCAACCCCGGCTCTATATCTTCGTCTAATCTGATGCAGTTACTTCGACAGTTAAATACAGCCCATTCTCAGGCAAATACTACTACCCCTGGAAATGAATCTACACATGTTTTGGGGCCTGGCGATGAAAGAGTTGTACATCTTCTGCCTGCCAACTCGGATCCGATATTTTTGGGACAACAGTCGCGAGTGCCAGTAGCTGCCGGGCAGCGTTGTGTCCTCGGCCGGCCTCGGGAATTTAGCTCGGATAACCGTGGCAATAGTAGCTATGCCGAATTCGATAGTCTTGCTAGCAACCTTAGTTATCTGGGTCTTTGTTTCAGTAAACAAGTAAGCATTAATGATATTCACGATCAACACTTCCAACACCAACCTTATAACACTCAGAAGCAACATCTTTCTACAGAAATCTCGTTCACCGGATCTACAGGCATGGAAAGCAACGAGAATCTTTTTCATTTGGCAGCTGACTCAACTGAACCTCATGAGAATCGCGGCAGCATGGACGGTGGTTTAGACTGGTGGCCGGGCCCTACATCAAATGTATTACCTGGGCAATCAGCAGTTCCACTTTCTTGGACGCTGCAGATGTCTGGAGCCCGGAGTACAGACGAACCAACCACTTTGATTTCGGCTTCATTCGGAACCGCTACTAGCAACACTACTGATTCAAAAGATGATACAAACCAAGCATTTCGTTTTGGAGTATCCCCACCGCAGCAACTGCTGGCAGTAGCTGCTGTTGAGACAAACGCTTCGGCCCGGACCACGACGACACTTTTGACAATAGAGCACGGGTCTGATGTTGCTGAATCTGCATCGTCTGATGCCAAGAAGTGTCATATTCATCCGGGCCGGATTTTTACTCGGGATACGCACGATCTCTATGGAGGAGAGGAAGAGAAAGAAAGATGCGGAGAGGGAAATTAGCACCTTGGCCCGAATGATATATCACTAAAGGTTTAATCTATTTGTGCTTATTAGCAAATTCTTTAACTTTATTCCTTAAAACGTAGATATGGAGACCAAGCTGGTGGGCTCTTCTGTCTAGTCACAGTCTTCTTTAGCTTTATTGTTTGTTCGACCTTGTTTTTCGCAACTTGGTCTGAACGCCAGAGAGACTTTGAGGAACTTATCTGGTCATGTGTCCTCTGCTACAGTATTTCATGATTTCGAGTATCGGAACATTGACTTAGTGCATTCCCAAATCGTTAGTGAGAGGTGTCTTCGTCAGCACAGAGTTACAACTGACCAATTTTCTGTTCAGCACGCTTGGTATCACTCCTCGTCCCCATTTTTAGTCCTTTCTTCTTGTGTTGCATCTCTTTCTCAGCCCCCTTCCAATGGCCTTCTACCCATTCACACAATCATGTGCTCTCATTTCTTCCAATGTCTCGTAAAAGTGTGTCGCTACAAGTGGGCTAAATGAAGCATAATTATCTTCACCACCGATTCCAGGAGCCTTTGGCAGTGCTCCTTACCTTCATTCAGCCCTCATTTCTTCGATTCCGCTTGTAAAGTGGTCTCTGTTAAACACCAAAATCACTGTGAAGAAAAGTTTCGAGGAGTCTCTTGTTTCATAATTGTTTAGCTTACTTCCATTTCGAGGGAAAGTGTTGAGTGAAGAGATTCGAAGGTCGGTTTCACCAGAAAATGACGGCGGATTCCTCTTGACCAGCTGTTGATTGGCTTTACTGGAAGATTCATGCTGAAGCTGTTTCCGAGGTAATCTCCTTCGATTCCGGTGAAAACGTGCTAAGATTTCGTCCGTCATATGACAGACATCATCAAAACAATGTATCATCCTTACAACCAAATTCAAACTAACGAGTCAAGTAAACTCATCTGCACATCCATAAAAAGCTGTATATATAAGCTTGACTCGTTAGCTTGAATTTTGTTGTGACGATGATACCTTGCTCTGATGCTGTTCGTCATATGACGGACGAAAGCTTAGCACCTTTTCACTGGAATCGAAGGAGATTGCCTCGGAAACAGCGTCAGCATGAATGTTCCAGTAAAGCCAATCAACAGCTGATCAAGAGGAATCCGCCGTTGTCTTCTGGTGGAACCGGCCTTCGAATCTCTTCACCCAACACTTTCACTCGAAATGGAAGTAAGCTCATCAAAATCACTGTATGAAATCTGGCTGCCGAAGAGCCTTTAATTCCAGTCCCTGATTACTCTATATTCGAGGATTTAGAGCAGATGGTGACCATGCCCATGCTCATGTCTATCGCAATTCCTGGGAATGTTCCTCTGCTTCAAACTCATGACTGAGTTACCCCCTTTCTCATCCCCACTCACATTATATCCCATTCTTTGAGCCACTGCATCCGGCTTGAATCATAACCGCTGGTGTGAAAATGCACCGCTTCTCCTTTTCCCCTCCTAAATCGTGAAAAGCTCTCTTCTCGTCCTTCAATCTGAGACTCCCATATAACCCTAGAGTACTAGAATGTTCATGTGTGCGTTTGCTGGTATCCCCGTTATCAAGCATGTCACCAGTCACTCTCCGTTAAGGCACACACACGAATGCGCACACACACACAGTGGTGACCTATATCTGGCCCACTTACACCTTTAGCCTTTAATTTCCTATCCCACAAGTGGACACCCCTTGGGTAAATTTCTGGCTGATTCCAGATTTGACTCTTTTCACTGCAATCGCCCTTTCTTTACTTCCCTTTGTCCCTCATGAGCCGCTCCTTGGCTATGTCTTTTCCTGATGTTGAACAGTTGCCCTGGGTCCAAGCATCTTCTTTCTTATGTCCTCGATAAATTTCCCAGTCTGCCCAGACAGGGCGTGAAATTATCATTAATTCTTCCATCTTCTAATCTCCTGTTCATCTGCTTTCTTTAAAAGAGTATGTCCACTGTTTTCTGGTATTTTCCTCATATAAGACCAGAGTTTCCATTACACTCCAGTCGATTGTGTAGCCTGTAAGGGCGATGTGTTCAGCTATCTCCGATCTTTCCGTATCCATTTTTCCGCATAGTCGCCAATATTCTTTCATCCTTGTACTAATTGTCCTTCTCGTCTCTCCGATGTATTTTTGTGTACAGTCCTTGCAATTTATGCTATAACTTCCGGAGCACTCTGTTTTGTTGACTTCTTCATGTTATGTGGACAAATAGGTGAAGAGGGTGGTCCTTTTTTTGTATTATCTTTTATTTCAATAGTTTAGGCCGTAGCTTCCGAACCAATTCGCAGGAAGGCAGACATAACCATAGTTTTTCCTCTGCTTTCCTTTCATAATCTCCCTCTCCCCATCTTTTTGTCTCAATCCGTATGTTGAGTTGTCCGTCTCCAAGAAACATCTGAGTTAGTTTTTCATGTTCCTCATCCAAGAACTCTCAATCAGTAAGTTGTAGGCTTTATATGACCATATTCCGGGGTATTCTGATCTTCAGTCCATATTTATGGTTAGACTGGAAGTTAAGAGTTATTCCAGCAAACGATTTCTTCTGGAAAAGTCGCTTCCTGGGAGTTTCCTCTTAGTAAATTAGCTCCACATCCATTCTTTAATTTGTTCACACAGTTATTAAATGGCTGATTTGTTTGTTCCAAAAAAGCTTATATATATATTAGTCATAGTTGTTGTTAAAAGGTTAGTTTAACCTGTTAGCCTAGCTTAAAGAGCTCAGCTTCATCACTTTATATTAGCCTTTTCATGCATCTCTATTAATACCTGATATCATGTTGTTCGTTTATATTATAAACTCTTACACACACCCTCGGATGCTGCAAGTTAAGGGTCCGCATGCTAGTGATAGTACAACATAGGATTTTACCAGATCAACGAAATTATGGAGACCAAGATAGTATGCCCTTTTGTACAGTCGAGGTCTCCTTTCGTCGTATAATAGTTGTTATACCTTATTTTCGCAAACTGGTCGTATTGGCAGAAAGACCTAGAGGAGCGCGCCTTGTTCGGGGTTCATAGTATGCATGTTAATTTTCTGAGTCGGACCGTAGACTTGGTACATTCCCAGTCGTTTCGCCGGCATCGTCAATAAGCCTTGCCACTCATAGCAACAAAGTGCAATTCTTCAAAGCGACAAGTAAAGTCGTTTCTTTCTCCAATTGTCTGCTAAATAGTTTTGGTATCTCTTCTTCTGTCCTAGGTTATTCGCCTATCCTATATCCTCGTATAAGTCCTTTAATATCACAATGTCTTATTTGTTTATTTAAGCCTTGTTGAGATTTGTCCTTTTGAGCGGATTTATCGAGACCTATTCATACTCCCCGCTTATTCCCACATCATCCCTCCTGTGCTAGGAGTTTTTATCCAAGGCTGCAGTTTAGTCCGCAATTCTATTCCTTCAGGTCATATCAGAGTCTCCCTCTTACTCCGTACAATCCTTCCTTTATCCGCCTGTTTCAGTGATTGCACTATATCGCTTTCACCGCATACATGCTACTCAAGGCGCTATCTTCCACGGTGGCAACGATATAGTGAATTTACTTAAATAAGCAGATACGAGAATGATCCAACCTAACAGAAGGGAAACTCTGATAGGACCTGAAGGAGGATGATTGCGGACCAAACTTCAGCCCTGGATCAAAACTCCCGGTACAGTGAAGGGATGTGGAAACCAACGGTGAGTGTGAATAGGTTTGGATGAACAAGTAAGAAATTGTGATATTGAAGGGGTGATATGAGGATATAGTATAGGTGACTACTCCAGGATAGAAGGAGAGATATCACAACTGTTTAGTAGACAATTGGTCAAAGGTTCGTCTTTACTTGCCTCTTTGAAGAGTTGTAGTGTGGTGCTAAAATTGGCAAGGCTCACTGACGATGCTGGCAAAACTTCTGGAAATGTACCAAGTCTACGGTCGGACTCTGGAAAAATATCACAGGTCGAGTTAACATCTTATCGGTGTGTTCACTGTGTTCACCCTATTTTATTTAAGGTGATGGAGGAAGTGGAATTTTCCTACAATTATATGAGTAGACCTTACTTTTTCATTGAATTTCACTAGTCTTACTTCCCAAAAGGTATTCTCT